GGGGGGTAATAAGGTGTATCCAATTGCTATGCATAACTTAAAAGTGTATAACATACCTGAGAACAAGTCATTTGTTTATAAACGAGGAACTCTCACAGTTAAATTGGATTCTTAGTAATTCCATAACTCAGAAAATCAATGTACAAAATAAAATGAAATTTGATGTGTAGTTACCAAATGTCAAGAAGTTGATTTCTAACTACATTGTTGATCAACCAGCAAAGCTTTATAATTTTCATTCTCGAACGGATGGAAACGGATCAATTACACTGTAAATTTAATGAGTGATTTGTGTTTAATATATATATATATATATTAAATGATAAAACCGTTTCAAATTCCAATGTATACGTACTGAAGTGAACATAGTTAATAAAACATACACGTTTCCTTTACAATCATAAATCACATATTTCTAGAAAAAATTCATTTTATATTATCTGCACATATGACATATTAATAAAATATTAAAAGATAACATATTTCATTTTATTAAAATAACTCGAGCATACTAGCTCGAAATTACTTTTTCTTAAGCTCAATTTTTATTATTTAACACGAGCTATGAAACGAGTATAATATTGATATATTTTTATCAACTTCAAAAATGCTTAAATATTTGACTAAGATAAGTTACGATAAATTAAAAGTATATGTTTGCGAAATAAACCATTTATGCAAATAAGTGGGACGTGTTTATCACTTCAACTTTTCGATTTTAGTGTGACGACAATGTTGGACATGGATTATTTTATTTGCTAAATTACCAGCCCACGTGGAAAATTTTAAAATTCGGAGTGTTACAGTCACCTCCAAATTTGTTCTGATCAATTTCACCACCAAGCAACTTCATGTATCCACCACCACAGTCAAGCTTCTGTTCATGCTAGATAGAGAACCAGAAAACTAATGTCTTGTCCTTGTTGCTGAATTCAGGGAACTCAGCTGAGATGGCATAAAACCTGTAGTCTTCAGTGGTTTATATACCTGCACTAAGACATAGAAGTAAATCCCCTTTGACGTCATATATTCAGTACATACAAATTCATATACATATATATTGCGCAAACATATCTACGTACTTAAGACTCATCAACTAATGACATGTTTACCTTCATCGGTAGAGTCCCCATTCCATTTACCAGTGGTAAGGTTCCATTCTCCGGCCATGTTCTCATCTTTCTTCCAGTCAGATTTGGCCCACTGATTCTCCCATCCATCTTCATATTTCATAAAAGCAAAAAATCCAATACAACACAACAAAATCAATCGAACAGCAATTAAAGCTATCAATACTGTAAAAGAGAGTGTAACATAACCAGTTTTTTACGAACAAAGAAACCAACTTAAATCTTAATAGCAAAACCACTTGTCTAAGACAAAAGGAAAGCTCCAATAAGGGAACTAAATGACACATTTTTTTTCTCAAGTCTCTTTTCTCTACATGCCTCACTTTTTTCACCTTTTTAAAGCCTGTAAAGTTTCCAACTTTCATTAATAGAACCCAGTTTCTTAAATGGAAATAGAAGCTCTAAATTATCCAATTATCCAGCCTCTGTTTATAGAAGGAAATGCAATGTGACAATGGCTAAAATATTAACTGTCATCGAATGAATTCGTACTATTTCCATCGAAAGTCTGTTCAAACAGATAAAATAAGATGCTTTGGCACCGATATGTGGATCAAATATAAAAAATGAACGTTTATTGGTCAAGTATTCAGAATAACCATTGTTTACATGTCAAATTGATCGCACTCTAGCATCAATCAATTCAGTAGTTTCAAAATAAGAGCATAATTCAGTAATTTGACACAAAAAAAGTTACCAAAAACCAGAAAACACAACGCTCAGTTAGCAGATCCATTCAGAAAAAAGGCCATAGCTGCATACGCATTGTTAAATTGAAACTAGAATCCTTCAATCAAAAAGATATGATCGACTCATAAATAGAAATCATGTCCATTCCTTCAGAAATTGTATCAAGAGATATTGAAAAACTGAAATTTCATAATTTTCATCGAAACATTATCAACTTAAATCAGATTTAGCTAATTCAGCATTAATTATTTAAAGAGAGAAAAATTGAATAATTAAAAATGAGTTTGAACAAAATGAATTTAAAAGATAAAAGTCAAACAAGAACTAAGCAAATACGACTATTGGAGCATCTAAGGCTGCAATGACAATTGTACCTTATTAGATAATTTAACCCTTGTTTTTTCATCAAACTACATTCTTCAACAATGATTTGATACCATTTCAACCACAAATTTTTCAATAAAATAATATTATACGCAAATCCAAAATATTTCTTTATTTTTTAACCACATATTCTCCATCGTAACACTATTTCAAAATGCACTTTTTAAGGAAAATGGGCATCAAACAATCTTTTAAATGAGTTTTGCTGTATGCACATCTAAGGTTGACACTCAAGATGACAACCCCATTCTTGAGTCTCGAATCAACGAACGGATTGATTGAACCAAACCTAGCATAATCGCGAACGCCTACGAAAAGATTGGTTGGATTTAAGAAAAGGGGTCTTGAGCTAAACCTTGGCCAAACCTTGAAAATCTTAATGCCAAACTATATGATTGAATAAATCCTCCTCTGTTTGTTGTGGGTCACTTCTCCATCTTACCGGTATCGCAAATCCCAAGTTTATCTATAAAGAGCGAATCTAATTGTATTGATGTCTGAGTCGAATGAATAAATGGATGGAAACCCTATGACTTCAATTAATTATGAGAAAGAAAAAGCAACCAACTTCTGTTCCTTATTGGAGGGGCCGTCAACTTCAGATATACAAACGGCAAATCCTAGTTTAAAGAACTATGCTGGGGAACAACCGCCCCTCCAATAGGGGGTGCCAACTGTTGTTTAGCCTGAATTTAACCCTGGCCAAACAAGTTTTCCCTAGTTTAAATTGGCTTTCATCCAAATGAATGAATTCCGTCAAATTCTCATTTGATCAAAACACCTTTGACCGGATTATTTAAAAACTCAAAAGAGTGAACTTGTCATTTTAAATATTCTTAGCCATGTTAAATTCATTTTTTCTTCAAAATCCAACACATGAAATTTTGTAAATGAAGGGACTGTAAAATAATGAACTTCAAACCTTTATTTGTTCTTTCACTAGTCATTCATACTCAATCAAAAATATCCCTATGTAAAATCATAAGACAGCATGGCAGACTAAAAATAAGTGGGGCATTATTGCTAATACTATTGAGTACAGAACATTAAACCTATATATGAAAAACGTAACAAGTTGAGATATTTGATTTTAAGAGCTTAGCATAGCTTTGCCAAGTGCTTCGAAATGGGGCTGCAAACTTTCTGGGTAAAAATGAATTCGCACTGTACATCATAGTTACACAAGGTTTTCACCAAAAAATGACACTTGAATACTGGGAGCTTCTGTATTTCCAACTTGACCACATTTTGGTTGAGAAAATTAAGCCAATGCCTTGGTGGAAGTGTTCGTTGAATAAAAAGTCGTGCATCACGGATCTTCAACCTCGTCACTCTTTATATTTTTCCGGCCCTAACTCCAAACAAGAAAAGAATGAGCAGAAACCCAGAAGAAGCATATGCAATTCAGTCTTGTTGAGTCCACATAGAAAGAAAATAGATATCTTAAACACACATACAAACTAACAAACAAAGTACAGGAAAAACATATCTCAAAACCGTATGTACAGAGTGCAACTTAATAACACAACTAAT